TTTGATTTTTGCAGATCGAACTACAGACCATAACAACTCCCGCCGCACAACAGATCGGAGCACCTCCCGCCGCACAACAGACCGGAACACCTCCCGCCGTCGCACAACAACAAGAACAAACACTAACCGGAAGATTCTTCAAAGGCCTCTTCACGGCTATCTTCTACTCGCAACTGATCCTAATCTCGATCTTGGTCATCTTTCTCACGCTTCGAGGTCTTGTCTTCACCAAATCACCAAGATTCCACCCCAAGAAATGGTACATTCCTTTGCTAGCTTCTGTTGCTGTCTCTGGAGTTGTCTCTTTAGCCTGGCAATGCTTCTTCGTCTGCAACATAGCAAGAACAGTAAATGCGACGTTATGGTTCACACCGATACTCACAGTCACGCTTGGGGTCTTCTTATTAGCATACGGTCCATCTTTCCAGGGATCGGTTTGCTTCTTGTGATCTTTAGCATTGCTCAAGCATTGTATGGCTGCTGTTACATCATTCCAAGGAAGCGTGAATTCACGGTCAAGATAATGTTAATCTCCACAGGCGTAACACCTGAAAGAACCAGAGCAATAGCAGTTGTATCAGTGATCTTAAGCGTCTTTTACTCTGCTTTCTTGGTGGCTGGAATCGGAGGAGCTACTGCTACAAGATCACGTCTTGATATTCTTTTCATCTCTATAATCGTCATAAGCTTGGCCTGGACAATGCAAGTTCTCAAAAACGTACAACAAGTCGCCATTTCTAAAGCTACATATGTGTACTTTGCGCGTGATGAGTTTATGAATGCGTGTAATGCTCTTAGCGTCACTGTGAGAAACCAGCTGGGGACCGTTTGTATTGGGTCAACACTAGTTCCAGTTTTTGTACTCGTCAGGGGAACTATCCGAGGCATTCACCCTCGGGAAATGTATGCAACTGATCGAGACTGCTCTTGGATTGCCAATCATATGATTTTATACGGAAACAGATGGGGATTTGTTCATGTAGGAGTTTACAACAAAAGTTTTGTGCAAGGGTCGGGTGATACCTGGAGAACATTCAGAAGAATGGCTGGATTAGAGGAATTGATTGATACTGACCTCACCAGCTCTATCTGCTTCCTTAGCGCCTTTGCAGTTGGCGCAATCTCTGCTTTAACTGCAGGAATATGGGAGTTTCTGATCCATAAGGATTACATCTTTAGCCTGACTCTCTATGCATTTATCATCGGATACTTCGTGGTAAGATCTCACTATTAAAATGCAGGAAAAAGAATCAAATTTGCTTTACTATGTTGCTCATGTACCTGGTTTGAATGGTGTGTTTCAGGGGAGAGTTTCTTCTGCGTGGCTACAAGGATGTGTGATGGGTTACTATGTGGCTTATTCTGAGGATCCACAGAGCGGTAACTTTGATAATACAATTCCACAACGTATTGCACGGCTAGATATAGAAGCGGCACAAAGAGAAGCCTCCAATGAAGTACGGGAGGAGGACGAACAAAATATATCATACATGTAGAGGAAGAGGAGATAACATACATGCAAAGCTAGCATACAGATGATATTCACTTAGTACAGAAAAAATACTCTTGTTTTTCTTTCTTTTCGATTTCTCTGACGCTTTTTCAAGGTTATAGTCTGTATAGATTGGAGATTGTTTAGCTTAATATGCAAAATGCAGCTAGAGAAGGAATGTACATACAAGGTGAGATGATGATTGATTCAGTTCTCATCCTTTCCCTGCTTTACTTTCTTTCTCTCAGATCCATTATCTGTCTAGTCACTGAATGCCTAAACAGTACAAAGAGCAGTAGAAGAGATAGAGGATTCGGGTTTAGTCACAAACTATTTTATTTAACAACAGAAAACGAATTGAGTCTGTTACAAGATTGTAAACTTTCCAAAAAAGGGGTGATTACATCAGTACAGGAACACAAATCTATATATGGAACTTACAAAAAAAGTAGGATTCTGCAATAAGATCAGAGAAAGGCACAGTACATATAAAAGTGGCGAATAGGTATACTGAGGACAGAACCATGACTGGAAACAAGTGAATCTCGGAGTCATCAGTGTCCTACGTGACCACGCCCACCACAACTTTTGCACATAATGTTACCACTTCCACCACAACCTAAAACAGAAGCAACAAATGGTTTTTAGATGAAGATAAAGCAACTTGCATTGAACATGACTATCTAACTTCAGTAAGGAGAAAAATACAAGTAGAAAAATGCAAAATTAGAGGTGTACCTAAGCAACGGACTTTAACAATGATGCCTTGGCTCTCCATTATAGAGTCTACATATAGACCAGTTCCAGCGCAAGTGGCACAAAGCAATGCACCTTTAGCTTCACAACAAGTGCAACGCTGATTATCACCAATCTCTCTCTCTGACATGGATAATCCTACTGGCTCCTCGATTATTTCCTCTGGAATTGGCTTATCATAACAGAACATTGACTCGAGACTGCTTCTTTGTCTGTGCACATCTCTTTTTAAGCATGACTCAGCCTACGGAAGCAAAAGAGTTTTCTCAACTCAGTAAACAATTTTGTATCCTTATCAGAAGAAACAGGACTCTATTTCTAGACTTCCTCTATTACCCTGATGCATAAATGTTACCGGAAAGCTCCAAACATGGAAGAAATATTGAGCTCTGTAACATCATATCCAACTAAGCAACACTAAATTGGGATGGTTGCAATTTACATGGGAGATTAGCTCAACTTTGCTACAGCTTAGTAACACTGTACAACTTCATGATTTGAAGTCCAGGCACCAACATAAACATGTTTATACTCATAGCCACCAATCTAGTACTCGTTAGTATCATCACCATTAAACAAGTCAGGACAAGTACATTGGCATGATCAATTGAAATTTCCATAGGGGGAAAACTAGCTCAAGTTTCAAAACTTGCTTCATTTCATACGCAGAAAATCCGATTAACCTCTCAAATCGCAGAATAAAACCGATATAGTATAAGTAGTTTCGTAATCCTACTGAGTTTCCGTATGAATGAAACAACAATTCATCGAAGAAGGGACAAAATC